AGATGCCCAAAGCTAGTAGTGCCATAAGGCACGATGAAATATGAAAAGTTCTGGTAGGCAGTGTAGATAAAACAAAACTGAGGACAACTGGGACTACAGGCCTGATTTAATGAATGTAGTATGTAGAAGGAAAGAGCCAGACAATGGCTAGAAGGGAACCCACTTGATGAGGTACACTGGAGAACAATAAAATGTATAGAAGTTGCTTCTGTGAGGGCAAGTAAATAGTTATGAAAACACCAGTTATTAGGAAAGCTGTTTAAGGAATTCATAAACAAGTACTTGTTTTGAACTCCAGTGATCACTGGCAGCTGGATTATTCTTACCTAATTTCACTCATCAAAAAATGAATCATCTATCCTAGAATAACAACCTTAGCTCCCCCCCCATGTCAATGGAGACAAGAGATACCTTAAGATACCTATTAGAGATTAAAGCTATATAAAAATTATTCTATTTTGATGGCTTGAATTGCCCATCGGACATACGTAGGTCTCCTTGTCTAGGTCTCTTTGTCTCTACAGGAAATTGTCTTAACTAGCTTCCACCAGATACCTAATTGCTCTATGACTAAGTTAAGCGAGGTGAACCCCTTCCTAAGACTCCAATTCATGGTTTAAGTTCTTTTGTCAGTTGTTTTGGTGTTAACATGTGTTGTTAAATATACGAAAGAACAACTTTGATGTGTAAGAACAAGGTTTTCAAACCTGATAGCAAACAACAATGCTAACAAATTGTTACAACAATCTCATCTGTTCTTGAAAAAAAAGTTATAAAAGGTAACAAAAAACTTGTTTGTGAACAGAGATAAAAAGAACACAGACTAGAACATCTTCGCACTTCAGAAAGCCACGAAAATTTCTAGAGGAATTCTCAGTGTTTGCATAGATGCTGCTGCTTAGTTTAGCAAAATCTTGGAAAAACAGTGAAAATACTGAAGCTTTAACTACTCAGTGTAATTTAAAGAGGAATGGTCTGTACTGTGGGTAGTTTAAAGACCGTAACTCAGAAACATCGATTTATTCTTAAAAACTAGAGAAATGGGATTTCAGTGGAAACACCTACGTACATTAAAAAGCCAACTATTCACAACACAGAAAAAGAAACACTGCTTTACACTACATTCAAGGAATCTATGAACTAATTTCTGTGAGGAGACATTGAGGTTTCAGTCTGTCAGGATTGAAAAAGTTCTATGATGAATAAATAACGGATGTTGCCTATGCAAGTAAAGCTGACCAAAACCAGTATCCGAGGCATTTAAGTCTCCAGGCTTCAGGCAAAAAGTAAGCCCTAGCACACTTGCTTAGCAACTCAAGCAGGCTACTTTTGAACTCCAGTGATCACTGGCAGCTGGATTATTCTTACCTAATTTCACTCATCAAAAAATGAATCATCTATCCTAGAATAACAACCTTAGCTCCCCCCCCATGTCAATGGAGACAAGAGATACCTTAAGATACCTATTAGAGATTAAAGCTATATAAAAATTATTCTATTTTGAAGGCTTGAATTGCCCATTGGACATACATAGGTCTCCTTGTCTAGGTCTCTTAGTCTCTACAGGAAATTGTCTTAACTAGCTTCCACCAGATACCTAATTGCTCTATGACTAAGTTAAGCGAGGTGAACCCCTTCCTAAGACTCCAATTCATGGTTTAAGTTCTTTTGTTAGTTGTTTTGGTGTTAACATGTGTTGTTAAATATACGAAAGAACAACTTTGATGTGAAAGAACAAGGTTTTCAAACCTGATAGCAAACAACAATGCTAACAAATTGTTACAACAATCTCATCTGTTCTTGAAAAAAAAGTTATAAAAGGTAACAAAAAACTTGTTTGTGAACAGAGATAAAAAGAACACAGACTAGAACAGAAGTACAAACATCTTCGCACTTCAGAAAGCCACGAAAATTTCTAGAGGAATTCTCAGTGTTTGCATAGATGCTGCTGCTTAGTTTAGCAAAATCTTGGAAAAACAGTGAAAATACTGAAGCTTTAACTACTCAGTGTAATTTAAAGAGGAATGGTCTGTACTGTGGGTAGTTTAAAGACCGTAACTCAGAAACATCGATTTATTCTTAAAAACTAGAGAAATAGGATTTCAGTGGAAACACCTACGTACATTAAAAAGCCAACTATTCACAACACAGAAAAAGAAGCACTGCTTTACATTACATTCAAGGAATCTATGAACTAATTTCTGTGAGGAGACATTGAGGTTTCAGTCTGTCAGGATTGAAAAAGTTCTATGATGAATAAATAACGGATGTTGCCTATGCAAGTAAAGCTGACCAAAACCAGTATCCGAGGCATTTAAGTCTCCAGGCTTCAGGCAAAAAGTAAGCCCTAGCACACTTGCTTAGCAACTCAAGCAGGCTACACAGGTACAATTATTGTGACTCAGCCAACAGGAAGCAGCACGCTATCATAACTTGCAATCACCTCTCTTTCTCCTGTAGGACTTAATTTCCAAGAAAGTGACAAGCTCTAAGTTAAAGTAAGATAATCTGCATCTGGGACGTTTTGCTACCTTATTTATTTCCTCATTTATTTCTCTGTGACATCCTGAAAACTTTCCCCAAACTTGTCTTGCACTTTTCTTTCTCCCTTCTGAAGCTTCTTTCATCAAGTTACAAGACATGTAATGCAGCATGACACTATTTTCAAACACATTTTGCATTCCTGATGTGCCCTCTGAGTTTGAGCACTCAGTTCTTCTGAAAAGAAGGTTTTAAGCTTATGACTAAATATATTATTATTAGCCAAACACTACAGTTTGGCCAAGTCTTTAGCTGGGCAATAAGGTAAATTCAGGTTCTATTTATAGCTTCTGTAATTCTATTTACTTTTCAAATGTTACAGTGGTTTGTATAGTACTAGCTCAATTGCTCTTGACTTTCCATCAGCATTATTCACATGAGGAATCTGGCTCTCATACCTCTTTTCTGCTCCCACAGAAATCAATGGCAAAATTTTATCTGACTTGTTCAGTAAAAGGAAAAGAGCCAGTAGAGGGAGCACAAATACATAGAAATAATTTTCTACCATCTCTATGAAAATTATAATGTGTACTATTTTTTCATATAGTATTTGCATTACTTCTCCCAGCCCTCCCCACCGACCCCCCAGTTAAAAACACTGTCTTGATCAGGTTACAATGAGTGCAGGTAAGAAGGCTCCATGTTTTTTTGATGGCCCTTCCTGCAGCCCCTGGGACCTCAGAGCTCTGTATGAAAGGCACAGGCTGGACCCTGTGAAACTGATCTTGGCAATATAGTGTTTTCTACTCACACAGCACCCCTGAGCAGACCAGCAAAATATGTGCCACAGTTTCTCTCAGACATAACCAGAGCTCTGCTGACTGATTCTGCTGTCCCAGCTGGTGGTCACACATGAGCATGCAGGTCGGGTGATACAACACAATATGGCTAAAAAGTGACTTTCTACCTCAAACCCTGCTCTCTTTCAGCAAGCTGCAGCTTTCAGCAGCAGTTTGTCCCTTTCTGTGAGCCCAGTGCTACCAGCTGTGCCCAGAAAGGTTACACCTCTGTCCCCTCTCTGCCCACTGAGACAGATGCTGCGTGGAAGAGGTTGCTTTGCTACAGGTTTCAGAAGGTGTTTCATGGATGAGAGGGTGTCAGGGAATAATACAGGACCCCTATCCTTCTCTTGACTTCTGAATTTCACATATTTCAAATGGGATCTCAGGACTGCAGTGCTTTTTGAGAGTTTCCCCCATACAGGAGGGAAAGGTCTAATCTCTTCAGAGGACTGACCCTAAAAGAAACATCTCACCTCAAACAACCCCAAAAACCAAAATGTAAACTGCTGAATTCTTTACTCTGTTGTTGGGCTTTCTGGTGCTGGAGAACACAGAGCCTGCTTTCCCATCTATCCTGCTTTGTTTAAAACCACATATGTGCAATAATTGCAAAAGCATTTGCCGGTGGTATGAGTCTGCTGCCATTAAAGAAAATAGAGTCAGATAAATTACAAGTGCTTTGAAAAATGCCTCTGCTAGATACAACACAGAGGATAGGATGGAAAAAAGAGAATGTAACCATTTGGATATGTAACATTTTCAAAACAAAGATGTCACCTTAGAGATCTGCTGGTTCTATGCTTCTAAATTTGGAAAAAAAAATAAATTAATCAATTTGGAGTTCAGGGGGCCCTGGGAATCTCAGAAAAATACAGAAGGCTGCTACTTGCAACTGGAAGTGTAGGCAGGACTAGCAAACAAGCATGAGCTAAGCTGAACATTTACGTGAGTGACATTTTTATAAGTACCTTTTTGCTAGTCACATTGATGTCATTTTGATCCTCAATTTCCTCTTTCACAGAAAAAAAGGTGGCACTACAAAACTTTACAGATCTAGCCACAACTAATGAATTTGACTTTAGAGTACTATAAAAAGAACTACAGAAACCTTTTTTGGACCTTGGCAAAGTTGCTGCACCCGTTCTGTGAACTACCTGGTGCTTTACAGTGAATGATAATTTCCCTAAAAATGCTTTCTGTCCATGCAAATATGCACCATTGTATCTGATTTTCCAGTGAAGACAACAAATACGTTTTAAAATACTTTTCTTTGTTTTCTCTGCACATTCCAAAACTTTTCAAACATCAATCTACTGGGTGACCACTAACAAAGGACTTTATAGACCAGAAAGACCTCTCTCCTGTCTCATATTCTGACTGCACTTTTGCTGCAAAAAATTTCTCTGTTGGTCCCATACTGACCTTTAAAAGAAAGGGAAAAAGCCCAACAACTGGATAACCTCTGAAAGTATAAACAGATTTTATAATATGACATTGCATTGTAACCACATACATAGTAAGCACTAACGTGCTATTGATACCATGCTGTAATTAATCTTCTGTCATCAAAAAGGATAAAGAAGCAGGGATTTTGAGAAAGGCCATGAAAGAGTCAGTGAGGAGTAGAAGATTTCTGCATGTCTGTTTGGATAATAGTTCAGGCTACAGACACTTTACCTGCTGGCCTGGTTTGAGTGGCGATAGCGTGATTCCCTGGGTATTGATCACTGGGAGTATCTGGTTGCCGATGACCGTAGCGATGATCTGACCCTGGGCATTGGTCAATAACTGTGGAGTTATTGGCTGCACCTGAAGTCCCTGAGCTCCACCTGCCGCCTGGCTGGAGGGGACTGGGTTAGGCATCAGTGGGATTGTTCCAATAATCTGGAGAAAAGGACACAGAAAGGGAAAATACACACACGCTGCGTTTACTTGCCACACATCATTACTTGTTCTGTGCATGTTAAAGCAAACTTAGGTGAAACAAGCAGAGATGGATATGAGCACCTGAGAGTGGGAAACAACTGTTCCTCTACTGTGCTGAGGGGGACTTTCCAACTTATTTGTTGTGCCACATATCACCTGTACATTTTGCCACCGTCCACTGTCATTAACAATGAATCTGCTGTGGCTGAGACTGCGTGAAACAAATGCTGAGCCACTCTCTGGTCCTTATATGGTGCTTCATTCCCACCTCTCATTTGAACACAGAATGAAACAGATGCAAATACAAGCCCTGCTTGTCTTGCTTTCTGCAACTCATCTTTACAATACTGTTAACTGTGAAGAGGTGCTTCTGTATTTTTTTTTTAATTTACTCCTACCTACTAACTCTAGATGTCCACCTGTGACTCCCACATGATCTGAGGAAGGAACAAAGAGACACAGGTGCCTTTCAGGACACAGCTTATTAAGATATGTTAATAAAAATGCAGCTGCTTTTGGATGACAACAAAGTAGTTCAACACAACCGGAGGAATGTAGTTAGATAAAACATTTTAGCTAATATTTCTGGGGCAAGTACTTGCAGAAAGAGACACTTGTGACATATCAGATTTGAGAATACAGTGATTTCCTAAAATGTGAATGTGCCTGTAAAACTAGTATTAGGAGTTGGCAAACAGATACTGCAAGAAAGCTTGTCAGTCAATAAGTTGCTAGATTGAAGAAAGTTAACCTGTTGGAAGACTCTTTTTATAAGTGTTAGAGAAACCAAAACAAACTTTTTGATGAAACTTGTGAATAAAACCAAAGTTTTTATTTTTTATTTTTTATTTTTTTTTTAAACAACAGCAAATGAAGTTTTACTGAACTTGCCCAGTTCAGATGGGAAGACCAGAAAGCCAGAAAGAAAAGCAGGACAGCTCTCCTGTGGGAGGACCTGGTAAAATGGCAAGCCCACCCACTAAGCTGTAAGAGCTGCATATATCAAAACTGTTCAAAACACTGTAAAGATATAATTTAAGTTCCCCTTAATGCATTCTTAAAAGGTAGACAGATCAATAAAGATTATTACCCCAATTTTACAGAGCATGAAAGTGAAGCACAAAGCATATTCAGACAAAGGTTGTGATTTGGAGTGTTAGCTTTCTCAGATGGAATTATCTGCCAGCTTCTCTCTGCAGACCATGGTACCTATTTTTTTCTTTATGGTGCCCCTAGCTGAACTACAGCTGCTTTACAGTTCATGTGAGAAGATGGCTGGTTACTGAGGAAGGGAGCATTTGTTTACATCATCATCAGATTTCAGAATGTGAATTAATTTCTGCATAACTGCCTGCACAACTTCTGTGCAGTGCAACACGTGTATTTTTCCCAGTTTTTGGCAACTTAAGATATTTATGTCACAAATATAACATTTTACCATATGTTACCAAACACAAGGAATAATCCCTCTTAATTCTATCAGCAGAAGCATAGGAAAGACCTCTTCTTCCTTTGCCACATCAGTAAAGGACGTGACCTTGGAGTGTCATTACTCCAATGTAACTTTAACTATCAAGGTCCTAATCCCAGCAAAGCAAAAAATGCTGTGCTGGTGTTATCAGTAATAGAAATGTTTGCATTCACATTTAAAATGCATTTCTTGGACTGCAGTTGGACATTTTAAAGAATGACAGTGCTGAAGTGGACAGTTTGTAAGGTCAGAAGCAGAAGGCTATCTATATGTATTAATGTGTGTCACACGCCAGTCTGCACATGGCACTGTACATGCACACAGCTAGGAAGGGAGCAGGGAAAACATACAGCTGGGAGAGGTGCTCCAGAAGGAGAAATGGACAAATGCCCTCAGGGGTGTTATCCCAGGAGCCAAGGGTAAATTTAAATGGGAAACAGTTTTCCCACTTTGTGAAACTTGCTGAGACGTCAATATATTTTTTCCGTTTTATACCAAAATAAAGTAAAATCCTGTCTGATTAAAAACAAGATGTCCACCTGTCTGTAGGTAACCAACAGGACTACTGCTTGTGGCATTCATCTTTGATATGGCTAAACCCAGATTCAAGTTTCCTCTTTCAAGATCCCCTTTCTCCAAGTGCCCTTTCCCAAACATCCTAACAGCTCCCTGATTCATACTTCTCAGCTTTGTACGAATAAGCAAAATATTCACTAGGGAGGAGCATAGAAACTGGAGCTCCTCCTCAAACCTTGAGTGTCTGTCCTGATGCTGGCCCAAGTCTCTCTTTCTTTAATTTTGGTGCAAATTTCACCCTAGGCCTTGCTTATGTGTCCTCTTAAAGCATCATAAAAGCTGGCACTTTTGGAAGAAAATTTATGGTTTCAATACATTCAAAATTTCTTAAGAAATAAAACAAGCCCATTGCACAGGCTGGAGTCACTGTTGTGCCACAGTACAGACTATTTAATTGCCAGTGATTTCCCTAGTGGGGAGGCATTGCTCCACTCTAGGAAATGTTATTTCACATTATATTCAAGGACTGCTCAGGAACAGCACATGACAGGGTCTTAGTCCACAAGATACTAATAGAATCATGCAATCACAGAATGGTTTGAGTTGGAAGGGACCTTTTAAAGATCATCTGGTGCAATCCCCATGCCACGGGGATACCTTTCACTATATTAGGTTGCTTAAAACCCCATCCAACCCGACCTTGAACACTTCCAGGCATGGGGTATCCAGAACACTCCAGGCATGGGGCATCCACAACTTCTCTCAGACATAGCAGAAAACGCTTCTTGTTCTGTCAGTGGTTGGACTCAAATTCATAAACAATCCCACCTGTCAAACACATTCTTGAGAAAGCAAACACATCCTTAGAAGTCCTCATACTACAAAACATAATTTTAAATGTTTTGAGGTTTATTTATATGATGTATGTGACTTTCACAATTCCTTTCATACCTCATACAGATGAAAGTAAGCACTAGGTTTTCAAAAGGAGTTGCAAAATATGTGTCGTAAGTAAAACAACAAATGGACAGTTTTGACAGTCCAAGGGTTAATTCAAGGGACCCCCTTGTCAATGATCCATAACCTCTAAGGGAGTCAAACACTTTAGGGGAACAATCTGCAGAGCACTGCTGTTTAAATTGTATTACACCTGGATGTAAGTCTGAGGTACAGGCTCCAGATATGGGCACAAAATGTAGTGCAGGTAAGACACTGCTGAGATTATGAATGTAAATTCAGATCTCAGCTATTTTACAGGGCCAGAATTTGGTCTATCTCTAATGAAAACACCAAGACTTTAATTCTGGCCCTGTTCAAGTGATGGAGTGTTGCCAGAAGCCTTGGCTAAGCCCTATTTTCACTGCAAGTGTTCAGTAAGATCCTTTTATTTTTGGTTATGGATTAATAATAGAATTACTAATTACATTACTTTAAGAAATGCATTAATAAATACTGGAATAATACACCAATTGCACCTTGAGATTCCTACAAAACAGTTTCTGTATATGCTAGTTTGTTTTTTTATGCTTCCCAATATTAATCCAATTTTAAGGATCAATTATTTGTTTCTGCTTTCAAAGGAAATATTTTCCCCTGAATATTCTCCTCTGATTACTCTGTTAGTGTTCTTTTAGCATCCTAGCATTTCACAATATCTGAGATCGGGGCTCTCAGACCTTACAACCTGAATCTGCCATTACCAAGTCAACTTACATGATTAAGTGTTATTCATACAAAATAAAGTTGTAAGGCTTGGCTTGCGACTGAAGTTAATTTGCTACCTGCTCCTACATACCATCTGTGGGCTCAGCAGTCTTTGCCTATGTAGTCCTGCAAACTGAATATTCAGATGCACTGAAAGAATAAGCACACCATTAAAGTGAATGTAAAAACCCAAGGACTGGAGCTGACCATGGAGAGAAAAAAATTTCCAAATCCTCAGCATATCAACAACTATCTGTGTGTGACCCCCATTGGCAGAGTCATGTCCTAGCACTGATAAACTGAAGTTCTTAATCACTTATTGCACCATTACACAGATTTTAGACCCTGGCCTTGCTCCATAAAGGTTTCTTCTAAAAATTGAATAGAAACATCTCTTCCCTTAAGAACAACCCATTAAACATCTGATCTTTAAGAAAGAATAACATTTAAAAATCCATTCTTATCCTTTCCTGACTAACAACACATCTTCCTATTTATAGCCTTTGTGGATTACTTCATGGTTACTCATGGGCTGAAACTTTAAGCAGAAGCTGAGTGACTGCTCAGAACTTCTGGGGATAAATGCCTAATATTAGCCCCATTTGCACTGTAGATGTAAATCTAGATTTTGCATAACTGTATGAAGGACAAGTTGATGATTTCCCAGCAGTCGGTCTTTCTTTGTGGCTCTTAAACCAATATTTTATTTTATTTTTTACATTAGGTCAAGTTACTACATACTCTAAAACAAAGCATAAACCCCTTGTTTAAGTTCTTCTCCCCTCATTGGAAATAGGGATGTCACCTTGCTTCATTGTTTTCCTAGCACAACCAAAGGAATCTTACAAACTGTAGTGAAAGGGATGGTTCAACAACTGCCTTGGTTTCTGCTGTGAAAAAGCTGAGTAAAATCAAAGACTGACTACACTGGGTTGTTTCTACTGTCAGCCAGGTCTGACATAAAGCAAATAGCTCAATTTAATCTGAAAAACATCTTTAACTATGAAAAGGAAACGTTCGGCTTTTTCAGTAGTATCATCAAAGTGAGTATTGTATACTCCCTGATTGTATACTATGTTGCAGCTCTTAGGCTTTTTCAGTAGTATCATCAAAGTGAGTATCTCCCTGATTGTATACTATGTTGCAGCCCTTTAAGTATTGAAGGTTAATTATTCAGTTTTGAACAACAGAAGAAGTAAAAAGTAAAACTGAATAACTGGGGAAGAGTAAACTGAGCAATGGAAAAACTGTTCAGTAAAATGAGTCA